GTATTACTGTAAGAATAACTTCCTTCCCCGAGTTATCAGAATAAAGAAATTTATAGAAAAAAAGAAAACATAAAAAAGTGACTGACTGGCTGTGCACTAATGATTCCGGACTCGATAAAAATTAATAGCAATCGTATATATATATTTAATTATAATGTTAAACTTTTTGCAATGCACTCGCATGTAATGCTAAAAAAAGAATCAGTTGAGAAGAGTCTGCTAACAGGTGCAACGCGGAAACTTCTTCACGATATAGTTTCAAGAATCGCTCTATAGGTCATATCATTTTGACCTCAGGAACAGTGGTACCCCACAGTTAACATCTTCTATCTATGAGAACCAGACCTTCGCGTGGCCTATTTATAAGATTGGGGAAAAAGTTTCTTCGCCTTTTCTAAGAAAATTCACAACATTTTTTTATATAGTTTATTTACATTTAACTAAAGTATGTAGGTAACATTTTGTTCGATAATTTTTTGCCATCTTGTAGGTAGGGACATGATCCCATTGCTATAGAAATTTTGGGGCTTCTGATCAAAATACTGCAACAATTGGTTTTGGCAGTCCTCTCGTGATGTTAACCTGACCCTGAATAAAAAATTCTGAAGAGACCCGAAACAGGTGGAAATCTGAAGGTGCAAAGTCAGGACTTTACGGTGGATGCATTAACACCTCCCAGCCAAGCTCTCTTAATTTTTGCTGAGTGGCTAAAGATGTGTGAGGTCTAGCATTATCATGATGAAAAACCACACCCCTTCTGTTGATTAATTCCGGTCGCTTTCTCTCAACTTCTTGCTTTAATCTCATCAGTTGTTCGCAGTAGAGTTTAGAATCGATGGTCCTGCCTGGTGGTAACAGCTCATAATGAATAATGCTCTTCCAATCCCACCACACACACAGCTTTACCTTGTTGCGAGTTAACTCGGGTTTCGCCACAGTCTGTGAAGCCTGACCGGCCTTTGACCACGACCTTTTACTACGACCTTTTTCGCACGTTCTTGTCGTACGTGATGCACTTTTCATCACCAGTTAAGTATCAGCTTCTTCAAAAATTGTTCGGTTTCATTACATCGTAATAAAGAATCACAAATGACTACACGGTTCATTAGGTTTCTTTCAGTGAGCTCGTGAGGTACCCAAATATGGAGCTCTTTTGTGTACCCAGTTTTTTTCAAATGCGCCAAAACTGTTTTGTGGTCAATTCCCAGTTCTTCAGCTACGTCGTAACTACTGATGTGCCGATCTTGCTCCACTTTATCAAAAATTGTATCCATTTTATCCGTAATAGGACGACCAGAGCGACGCGACGTGCATCTTTGACATAAAAATTTCCGGATTGATAAACATCGCAAATTTTTTTCGCGGCTTTTTAGGAAATTTTTAAAATGTATCGAATTTCTTCATTAGATTCACTCATCTTGACAGTACGAAAAATAAATAAAAATCACACATTTTCCTAATTTGAATTTGGAATGATCTTCTTTAAAATTTTAATTTTTAATGATACCAAAACCAGCCAGATACAAATAGTTTAGCCTGTACATACTATAATTTCTAAGTCGATTGGACCGATGACTTGCGGCGATATGCTGGGAGAGATTGGATGCGGAGGGCGGAGGATCGTTCATTGTGGCGGACTATGGGAGAGGCCTACATCCAGCAGTGGATAGATACAGGCTGATGATGATACTATAATGCGAAAAGACTTTTTCTCCAACCCATTATAATCTTAAATGTTGATGACCATATCACAACATTTTTAGTCGCAGTTACACTATGAACTTTTCAACGTCTATCCAAAAGTTTCATGACATACTGACATATGTACCCACATAAATTACACACCCTTTAGGACTCCGACAAGGAGTTGCTAACTTGCTTGACTTTGAACACTAATCACGATGTGGGCTTTGAAATACTTAAATACCCTCCTGGCTTAGTACAGTGAAAAAACAAATCCAGAAACACAGAAAGAAACCAAGATATAGAAAATTTAATTTTATTAAAATATAAGGATTTGTAAAGACCATCGATCGCCCGTGGTTTTTTCCAAACAAGTCAGTTTCATGTAAATGGACGATTATCTTGTACCATACATACTTGAGATACAGATTTACTATTCCGAATCATAGAACAGTGTGTATTCGTACAAGAATAACTAAGTACTCGTGGGCGCTATTGAAAAAAGATTTTGATAATTTCACGATATATATTTGGCAAGACAACAGATGTAGTGACGTTTAAATAACATTTGTCCCATTAAATTTCTGAACAGCACATTGCATTTTGTTTAAAAAAACATTAAGGTGTATTTTGAGATGCTAATTTTAAAATAAATTGAAATTTTGCCAGAACATTTTAAATGGTATAGAGATGTTTGAAGATCTGTGATCTGTACGTATTGACAGTAATAAATCGTTGGAATTAAATATTTGTTTTTGTCAAAGTATCTGAACGCATATTTGATTGAGCTTCTGACAACTAATTGATGTAAGTGGCAAATAAATAGGGCAACAATAGCCTGGCCTAGATTGCTAAAAGACTAAAACATCTTGACACTTATTGCGCATTTACTAAAAATAGAATTTGCTGAAAAATTTTCCCTTCCTGAATTGCTCCATCGTAATAACTAACGATTACTTTTAAAATTATTTTACCAATCTAAGATTTGAAGTCTTTTCACGCAGCTCACTTTAGTAATAATATTTTATAACAGCAATTTAGTTCAATACAACCTGTCGAGACAATTTTACGCGCTTACCATTCCAAGGCACCACAATTCCAAGGGATATCCCTGCAAGCACGTGAGAGTACCTATTCGATTTCTTGGAGTGGTCTTCAATATCGGGATATTTGGATTTTTTTATTGCGTTTGTAGGTAGACGAGCGCACGGCTCACCTGGTGGTGAGTGATTACCGTTGCCCATGGACGTCAGCAATACCAGGGGCCTAGCCAAACTGCAGCCTACCGTAGAGGTATGGAAATCCTCAACAGAGCGAAGCTGTTCATCGCATCTAGTTAAAGAATACTGTATAACCCGTAGTCTTCGGCTCATGTGGAGAACTGATCTCATTTCGTACTGTTCTTTAACTCCAGAGGGTTGTTGGGATAATCCTGATCATACGGGCCGTTTGAGACCCGCCGATATTGAGTGATTATGGAGCTTTGTGTTTTTATAGTAGACTCTGAATTAAACCCAGCCCCAAATTAGGATTACGCTGACTACTGCGTCACCGAGTCAGTCTCGAGAATTGTTTGAAATGATTCGGTCATTTCGCTTTTACTATCACACCGTCTGCCACAGTATGTCTAGTGCATGAAACCGTTGCATTCAACTAACGTTTCTAGAGATCGTTGTCACGTTTCATTTGACTTTGAAATTAAGTGTTGTTGTTGTCATGATGTTCTATGAGTGCCCTGATATGTCCTCCATGAAGTCAGGTTATTAAAACAGATAGTGACAGTGTTTTTGGATTGCAGTTAAATATTGTAAATTAAAATAATATCAATGAAATAAAACTACTGATCGGATTTCAATTGTGTTTATTTTAGCTCAGTGTTATGTATAACAATAAATATTTTTGCTCTCTTTAAGAGATCACATAATAATAAGTTGTATTTTTTGATTATTTTACCTGTACTCACAAATCAACAATACTCTTTAATTTCGAACATAACAATATCACATCATCATGTGTACTGTGTGCCCATATATTTCTTAACATGTAAATACGAACTATGTATTATACTAAAATAATTATTTTTTCAATAAAAATTCTAGATTACACGTCTGCCAACATTTCGCAAATAAATATTTATTTATGAGTACGCTCTCAAATTCAGTAATTTTAGTACTTTAATTTCTTATCGAACACTAAACTCGAGTTATATTTTAAAAACGTCTTTAAAAATTAAAATCAACAATATCGTTTGCCTCGGTACGGAATGATAAGACCAAATTATACCGATCGCAAAATCCCATTGTAAAATAAATTGAATACTTACTATTTTTAACACACAGTTTAAGTCTTTTTAAGAGGATTTTATATTGACATGTTGTGACCTATTTTTTCTCTGGAATTAAGTAAAGGGGTCCTACTCAGCCTTCTGATATACTAGGATAAAGAATTATGTTCACAAAAATAAGTGGTCCAGCTGTCAATAAATCAAATAATGAAAACCTTGAAAACGAAATTGAGATACTAATCTATTGATTACCCTAAGGTTAACTATCGTGATTAATGATAACTAAAAAACCATGAGTTTAGCACAATCACTCATAGTGACACGAATGGGGCTTCACGTTTTGTCGAGAAAGACAGTCATCTCATGGCTCGTAATCATGATTGTTTACAGTTATTATATAGTGTAATTGTTTAATGTTTATTGTGAGTAAAATTATTTCCTTACATTATAAGTTAGATTTGTTTTCGTCATTGTGTTATTTTGTCCTATAGTTGTAACTGTTGTAAGAAGCATTGTGTACAAACTCAGCACATTTGTTTATTTTTATAATTTTGAGGGATTACTGGTGACCCGGCCTTCCCAATTTTACCAGGACAGGTGGGCAAGCAAGGGCTTAGCCAGGAGTACACATTTGTCTTGTTTAGTCGTGCGCATGGCTTATGTTGCAAGGTAGATTTTTGAAGTGAAAACTTCTTTAGAATCGTTGTGATTTCAAACCGGATGCAACGGAAAAAACGACAGGTAAGAGACACAAATACAAAAATGTGTAGGATGAATGAGACAGAAATATACATACTATTTAATACAGCGCCATCTGTGAGATTTTTTAATACTAACGTGTGTATGAAAGCTCTTGTAGTGAATTTTAATTTAGGATTATACGTGAAATTAAAATATCAATTCACAGAGGGCGCTACCTTACAATTATTTACTAATGACAAAATTTTACATATACTTAAGACGTTTAGGATAATTGTATTTTAATTTTGGAAGGTTTCACTTCTACCACGTGTGAATTGCACACATGTTTTTACTTGTTGTTATTTGTTGTGTATTTTTTTAGCTTGTAATGTGTATTGTGTGCCTAACAAATAAATACATAAAATATATAAATACAAATTAGGTCCAGGTGGGATGTATTACAGCGATCGTATTCGTGGAGAATCCTGATGTTGAAACAATCACCATTAATGAGCCTCTATGATAAAATTGCTTTACGATTCCAATTTGCGTAAATAATGACATGGATTTAAGAAGTCAAATCGATCTTGAGCTTTTGCTACAGATAAAATCAACACCTACGAAAAAAAAAAACCAGGAAGAGACAAGATGACAGAAATTCTCAAAGCAAATAACCCCATAGGAATGATTCGTGCAAACTAATGAAATGAACGATGAACTTATAAGATATTGAAAAAAACCTAGATTATTAAAAGAATTAATGGATTAATTACCAAAACAAAGAAAAATCCAAAATACTCTAATCTTGTTTAAAATTTTTAGACATTTTATTTACGATAAAATATTTCGTCTATGTTAATTTCACGCACATTACGTTATTTTCAAAACATTATTACCGAATTACGGTCTGTTACATTTTAAAATAAGGAACATATTTTATCAGTCAAAAATTAACAACCAAATTTAATTTAAGTAATTTAATCACTATCCAAGTACGTACTTAGAAATCAGAGACGAATTATATCAATATTAATGTTGAAGTGATGAAAATGAATTTCCGAGAAACGTTTTTAATAATACTTCATTGTAATAATTATTGTGTTTATGATGTGGTAGATATCGAAAATGATTTTACTTGACGCTCTTTAAGGTCCGGCAGACACTACTTTAGTATTCGAACGTTGTAGATGTTGGCACTACCTCTAGTACCATTTGCAGAAACACCGTAATTTTATCTGTGAATTAAATTGGATCGATTAAATAGATCTTCCGTTTTTATATTTATATTTAGTCGTTAGTAGGAAACAATGGGGTCTCTTCTGAGCGCTTATGCATCTGTATATGAAATACCGTCCATCTCGAGACTTGAGGTCGATATTCGAATTGAATTGAAATAACAACTATCATTCCTTTATTCGCTACACACGCCTGTTTCATGGAGCTAGTGAACTACTAACTTTTTCAATTATTTCTCATCTATCTCACCTAGAAAGGTTTAAAAATCTAACGGCCAACTCTGAAGTAGTTACCGGAGTATTACATCACGCACCCACCGTGAAGCATGAGATCGAACTGTGCGAGTTTTTTTTTAACTTCTCGATCGCGTGAAAGTTAACTCTAATTTGTACGGAGCAGTTTCCCTTCGTTTGCCGCTAGGGGCGCTCTTCCAACTCCATACAAATAACTTTAGTTAGGTAACTTTTACGGAATCGAGAAGTAAAAAAATCGCACCAAGCACACTGATCGAAGCACCAATTGAATTGGATTTTTCTTTACCCAATGTACAACTATTGTGGGTTCAATTTTATGACACGCTATTCCTTCAACGTGGGAGTCGCTTGTAAACGTTAGGTAGGCACATAATTACGACAATGAATATGTAGGTACAAGCTTTTTAATTGACAGCGTTTTGTCTTTCGCATAATCAAAGAATCCAAATCTTACTCAGGCATATTCTACAGGATGTTTATTAATAATATATAGCAATAAAATAATAATTATACTTTTTTTAGTTCAATAAATGAACTTAATAATTTATCTTACCCATAAATGGCAACGAATATCCCCATTTCACGAACGGAAGATACACGAGCAGCCCTCCCAATATAAACGCTGCCGCATACATGTACTCCCACTGAGGCTTGTCCAGTATAGGAGCCACCACGAGATACGCCGACACAAACAGCACGATATACGGAATAATTATTGGTACCTGAAATATCGTTTTAATTAAATTCAAATAGAAAAAAAAAGTATTGCTATTGATTATTTGAGCTTACATTTCTCCTGGTTAAGAGGACCCATAGATATTGTGGATCCAGCCAATATATATAACGGCAGGGCCGCTTTTAAAACTGAAACTTTCCGGTAGAGACAGTTACCCGAGCGGGCTCAAAAACTAGTTTAAAGCAGAGCGAAAGAAATATATTTGATTTTCATACTTAGCACTTAGATTCATGACAGGCCTTGTTGTTGTGTAACATATGAAGATAGACGAGTATTGATTAAGCTTTTGAATTCAGTGTGCTTAGTGCGAGTTTCTTAACGTTCTCGATAGCGTAAAAGTTAGCTCATATTTGTATGGAATGGGATCGTTTGCCTACGCTTGCTGCTAGAGGCGCTGTTCCAATTGCAGACAAAATTGGGCTAACTTTTACGCTATCGAGAACGTTAAAAAACTCGCACTAACCATACAGGAGAATAAAAATTACAAATCGAAAAAGGTTACATTTACATTACAGTTCATGTGAATCGTAAATTATCTGTTTCAACGCAAGAAATCGAGGTCGCCTTTAACGTGTTTCAATTAATCCTGAAATAAATGTCTGAATCGTATTGAGGGGAAACGCAATAATTTTCTTTGACAGACAGTAAAATAAAGAAGTTTATTAGGCTCCCAATTACGTACCTCAATTTAGCAACACTTATGAGAGAGACGCGTTTGATTTAAAATTGATTAAACCAACCAATGTCACTCACTATTGAACTCGACACTAAAATGCTTTATTCCTAATAGTCAACAGAATTATGCACCTGTCATTAACAATGTTAAGAATGAAAACATAATATCAACTGCGAGATGACGATAAATAATAAATTCAATAAAATAACTCGTTTTCTGAAATTTTACGTGCAGAACCAGATAATTAGTGAAGTAGCTTTTATTTTTTTAATTACTTATTTGGGCGGACGAGCTTACAGTCCATTTGGTGTTAAGTGGCTACCGGAGCACCCACCTTGACACATGAGTTCTAAGTACCTACCAGTTTTTACAATATAACAGCTGCTTCATTCTTCAAACCGAAACGCACTACTGCTTCAAGGCAAAAATAGGCAGAGTACTTACCCATACTGGCTCACCAGACGGTCTACCACCAATAAAGATATCTCCTAAAGCTATTACTTACCTTGTAAGGTCTTGGGGCGTGCGGTTTCGTATACCGCATCACAATCAAAGCGAGCATCGCGCCTCCGTAGAATATCCACGCGGTGAACGAGAAGAAATCTATTAACGAGTCTATCGTCCCGTACAACACCATTGCCACGGCTATTAAAGACTGTAACAAAGTCGAGGTTTTACTGTAAATTACCTTCAAATCGATAAATATAATGTTAACACATGTTTTGAAGTCTTCGTGGCCCAAAGGATAAGACGTCCGGTGCATTCGTATGTAGCGATGCACCGGTGTTCGAATCCCGCAGGCGGGTACCAGTTTTTCTAACGAAATACGTACTTAACAAATGTTCTCGAATGATTTCCACGGTGAAGGAATAGCATCGTGTAATAAAAATGAAACCCGCGAAATTATAATTTGCGCAATTACTGGTGGTAGGACTAGTGAGTCCGGGCAGGTAGGTACCACCGCCCTGCCTATTTCTGTCGTGAAGCAGTAATGCGTTTCGGTTTGAAGGGTGGGGCAGCCGTTGTAACTATACTGAGACTTTAGAACTTATATCTCAAGTTGGGTGGCGCATTTACGTTGTAGATGTCTATGGGCTCCAGTAACCACTTAAAACCAGGTGGGCTGTGAGCTCGTCCACCCATCTAAGCAATAAAAAAATAACACAATATGGTGACTAAAATTTTACAATTTAGTCTGGGAAAAAGAATGTCTTATTATGTCTGATGCTGTTTGAAAGTTTAAGCGAATTTCTTTGAAGTGCGCACAATGTAATAGAAAATCCACAGACGCACGCGGTCAACAACCTTGTGTGACGGAGGGGTACTTAGGTATTCGCGGCTAATTTTTAATAGTAATATTTTATTACATAAACTGTAATATTGTTAACGTGTTCTAACAACAAAACCCCGTTCCGAAAAATTTCGTATAATTTCCAAGCTACTACAAATAAAACTTGGAATTGTTTGAGATGATCGCACCGCCCGCCACCGGAGTAGAGTTCATTCATACTACCTGGAGCCACTGCGTTCATCCACGGTGCGTTTCCAGAGATATTTTTTGCCACGTAACATCCGGCTTTGGAATGAACTCCCCTCCACGGTGTTTCCAGAGCGCTATGACATGTCCTTCTTCAAAAGAGGCTTGTGGAGAGTACTTAACGGTGGGCAGCGGCTTGGCCCTGTCCCTGGCATTGCTGAAGTCCATGCGCGACGGTAACCACTCACATCAGATGGGTCTTATGCTCGTCTGCATACAAGGGCGAAAAAAAAGCTACTTTTCACAATTTAATTTCGCGTTTTTTTATGTTTGAGGGATTACTGGTGGCCCGTAGGCCTTTCCAGTTTCACCAGCATAGATAGGCGAGTAAAGCACAGCCAGGAGGGGTGGGATTTGCTAACAGTTACGCCCGAGCGCCTCCGAGTTAGGGTGCCTGTCCACCGGAGCGGAGAAATATTAACTAATAAGATTGCACAAAATCAAAACCATAAGATTGCAAAATGATTTTGTGCAATCTTATTGGTTAATATTTCTCCGTTTCTCCGCTCCGGTGGAGAGGCACCCTAATACCTAATGTTATGATTGTAACAGTACGCGTGACTCCGGTGACGCATACGATGACGGTGACGCGCTTTTCGCATCAACAATAAATATTTGATGTTCTTTAACATCTATATATTAATACGTGAAGCAAAAACTTTGTATCCCTTTTTACGAAAATTGCACGGACGGAGGAGTATGAAATTTTCCACACTTATAGAGAATATAGAGAGAAGAAGTGCACAATGCTAATATTTTTTTAAAATAATGCATAAAAGATACATTAAATCAATAAAGAAAACATTACACACACTACATGCCATGTATTTGACGCACACACGCATGCATACTATTTATTGTCAAACTTTTGTTCTTGAGGTCTGTTGTCAAATTGAGAATAGAATATGGTTTGTCTTTGTTAATATTTTTTATAGTGTAGTCTTGGCGAAATTTGTGATTATAGAAGTATAAAATGAAATAATAGTGTACAAACTTAAAATTCCAATAAATTATAGTCGAATTTCGACTACTGCGGGACCTCTAGTGTTTATAATTTCCTTTAATTGAATTCGAGACAAATTTAGATTTTTTTAGTTAAGTGAAAGTTTAAAGTATCTGCTCCCAATTGAGAGGGTATTCTCTGTCCCGTTCTTACACAGCATGTTATGATGTTTTTACACGTTTTAGCATGTTTTTATAATACATTATATATTGTATAGGCCGTTGTATGTATGGCGTCGGCGGACATTGACGTCATTCTTTAGTATGACTATAGTACCACAAAGTCCGATTGTACCTACTTGTTAAGTGTCGGGTGCATCTGAGATGCTCACATCACAGGAGAAAGTCCCAACTTAACATTTGTTACTAATTATTTACGTACAGTAATAATTACTTTCTAAACAATATTTTAAATTTTTTTTGACCGGCTGTTTTTTTTGACAATAAAAGCTTTCGACGCGCGGTTTGTAACTTACGTGGAATATCAATCCGGGTGCTGGTGTGAAACGGCGCACGTGCACGTAAGAGAGGATGTCCAATAAGTGACCTTCTCGTGACGCGGCAAAACACAACCTGTAATCACGATTTTTATAACATTCATCATGTACATTTCGGCGTGAATAAAGACACATCGAATAGGCATGATTCCAAGGCATATCTTCTTCAAATATCGAATTGTTTCTAATGTAATACACTGATGAAGGAATTTAGAGGAACGCAAAAAGATAGTGCGTAGTGAGATCGACACTTCATGGACAAAATTTACAAGAACGCAAAAGAATAGCGCGTAGTAAGATCGAGACGATTCATTGTCGTCTCGCGACGGTAGGTATAGCATCCAAGCTGTGATGTCATGTGCTCTGGTCTACCCATCATCGGATACACAAGGTATACTGCACCTATTTGATAAAACGACGGAATGTCGTAGGTGATTCTCGCGATGACATTGAGTGAGAAGAGCTATCGCTCGGAATATTCCCTACTTATGAATCGATAGTACAAATAAATAATACAAATGTCAAGTATTTATGATTAGCTTGTAGAAAATCAATATTATTTTCCGTCAGAGTAAATAATATTGATTGACACAGTAAACAATTTGAAAGAACAAAGAAATTTCATTAATTAGATTGATTTCAAATTTTACAGCCCGTACCTTCCGGCCACGAATAGAGTTCCATTCGCTGATCCAAAAGTAGATATAGTGACGGCTAATGGCATCAACCAGGCCATCGGGCCGAGCAATCGGTTACCGAATGTGACCGCCACTGCCTCACTATCCGCCATCTCGCTCACGGACATCACCGCCAAATATGATACATTCACAAGAGCGTAGCATAGTGTTACTAACGGTATCCCGATTATGATACTTAGCGGGAGATTCCTGTAAAAATCAAGTAGTGTGGGCGAAATTACGGGTGTTTTAGATTTGCAATAAAATCGATTATTAGTTAACAATGATGTAGGTATAAAAAATGTAGTAGTTTTATTAAAGCCAGAAGATTATATTAATATTCCGCTCTAAATAATCTTTTTATTTTTCTTTCTTTTTTCAGTCTGGCAATCGGCTTAATAATTCTTGTGATGCTATTGTTGCCAGTGTCAAGTGTTTGAAAAACTTTGATTACCTAATTTATTTATTAAACACGCATATTCTGTTCCATGAAAAATGAAGGGAAATTAGGTGAAATAACTTTATTAGGAATTTTGATCAATTGGAATGAAATTAATGAAACGAAAGAATAAAATGAAATAATGTCTCAGTAAAATAATCAAATTTCAGTACGATTTTTGAAAAAACCTGAGAAACCCACGTTCAGAGACTTTTATTTTGAGTAAGTGTGGTAAAGTTGTATGTAAGTACCACCAACCTACCCATTTCTATCAAGTTATGTTATACTGTAGTTGCGTTTCTGCGTTTCTATGTACAATGTCTCATATAGCGTTAAAACTAAGAAAAAACTTACTTGGAAGGGTTTTTTATTTCTTCCGTGACATAATTAAGGTTATTCCATCCGTCGTAGGCCCATAGGCCGGTGTAGAATGCGGTGGCAATGTTGCCCAGAGTCGCCTTGCTACTGGCGAAGTTGGGCTCCTGTAAATGTCGCGTATTACCTGCACCATACGGACACAACTACCCGTCAGTGTATGTCAAAAATATTTACATCTCATCATTAATATGTAATGGGTGGTAACGAAACGATGCATTTGAATTTGTTAAGCCATTGCCTCTCGAAACATTCAATTAGAAAATTACCCATTCATTAAGCACACCCTTTTTTTTGGAACGAAGTTCCTTATCGCGCGTTGTGAAAGGGGGCTAGACGGAAAAAATTCTTACGAAAAGTTGTCACGACACTTTTTAGATCCGTCATTCTGACCAATCAACGTGTAGGCGCTTATCGCGTGACATTGCTCGTATCCGATTGGTCCGCGTAATGAGTACAGTTTCTCGAGATAGCGTTTCAACAATAGTAATTTAGTTCATAGTATTGTTTTTTTCTTCTTCATAATGCCGTAATTTATTATTATAACTTAAAAAAAAAATTACAATTCCTTCACTAATTAATCGAAAGGAACTTCGTTCCATCCGGGTGTCCCTTGACACCTCTGAAGTTTTTTTAATATTATACTTATTTCTTATTTAAGAAAACGTGCGGATATGTACAAAGAATATCATTCAACATAAAAAAAAAGGTTTCTGGTTTGTTCTTGTTCAAAAATACATTTTGGTGTTAAGTAAATGAATGTTTAATATAAATAAAATCACAGCCGCATTATTACCTAGTATCAGTTTGTAAGCTCCTCCGCATACGATGATCGCGATCGCAACGAGTTTGGCCGCTGTGAAAATATTTTGCACATTCGTTGCCAAGTTGACACTGTAGCAATTCACTGCTAAGATCATCACTGAAAAAGCGGTATAAACAGAATGAGTACGACGCATAGTAACCATTACGTTTTAAATAAGGCTCGCAACATCTTATTGACCTCAGTCGAATTGATAACACGAGGAATGTATCAATTGAGACCGAAGTTTGATTCTAATTATCGGTTAGTATTCTGCAGCGGAGTATATGGGACTGCGCCGTATGTGGTTTGCTGAATTGAAGTTTATCTCTTACCAATCGAAATGACCGCAACCAATTTGACCAAACTGTCAGGGGGTTCGCACTCCGCTACAAAAGGCTCAACGGCGTATTTGGCGAAGCTTAGGCAAATAATGGCCATTTGTGATGGTTTTAAAACCAATGTCGATACCTAAAAGTAAGGGTATTTAATGATTATCTGCGTTATTAACTTACTTATTAGGCACGAACTTAAAATGAAATTATTAAACTTTACCCATGAAAAGAGGAATGCGGGTGGGCCCCCGAAGGCGTCCATGAAATAGGCGTATTCAGCGCCAGATGATGTATTCATTGTCCCTAATTCCGCATACGCAAGCGCTCCTGTATTTGAACATAAAATAAATAATAGTTTAAAAGAACTAACAAAATACGCTTTTATAGAAAATCCAACTAAAAAATAGAAAATAAATTTGAATTAAAAATAATGTAAGAAAAAATGATTTTATTGTAAAAAAGCGTGGGGTGCTTTTCAGGATATTATGAAAATAACCCTTCTACTCATATCTGTTCATAAAATATTTATAACTACTGATACCATTCATTCCACCATTTGTGATTATAGACCTAGTCTTTGAGAATTGATTCGTAATAGTGTACAAACTTATAATTTCAATTAGGTAATTATAGTCGAATTTCGATTACCGGGGGACCACTAGTTTTCATAATGATGTCATATAGCTTAAGCATTTTAAATAACGTAAGTCAATTTATCGGCTATTTTACGTTGTGAAATCTGCCATATGAATCATAAATTAAATTTTTCCGTGTGAACCACTGTGTGAACAGTTTGATTGTTTACTAACTGCCAATTTACTCGAAATTACAAAAGCTGTGGTCGGTTAAATTATGAACGTCTCAATTAACATCTATCAAAAGTAACAGAAGTAGACTAACTAGCGTAATGTAAATATAAAGAGTGGCCATTGTAACGATTTTGAAGCATTTAACAATATTAGTGAAACGTTGTACAACAACTAATTTACGTGTGAGCATCGCACGTCACACGAACCCGTATTCTTGCTGTCTTCATAAAAATAGAATTTGTTCTTGTCTTGTCTGACTATTGGTCTTATTGGATAGACACTTGATTTATACTGAAGTCGGCAACTCGCGTGACGAGCTATTGTATAATTAATATGTACGTGCAAAATTTTTTTTTTTTTTTTACTATTAACATTCTATGTTTCTTTTAAATCTTAAGGTAACAATCCGATGTACATATTGTGTTAAACATATTTCTCGACATTAATGGGATAATGGCGGATTTACACTTTTCATAAGACTTTTTCATACGAATTCGTATTTTTTTTGTTCTAACGAGCGATTGATCTCATAACCTACATCATGTTAAGTTATTAGCAGAAGCCATAGGCATCACAAACTTGAAACATGTGTTCGAGTTTGTAACTATATTTTGTATAGGCTGTTTCACCCCCCAAACGGACGCATAATACTTATTAGCCGTATTCTTGTTAACATAGTGTCGATGGCACTAAAAAATAGACTGAGTACAAAATAATTGATTTTTGTTTTTATTTTTATTTTTTTATTGCTTAGATGGGTGGACGAGCTCACAGCCCACCTGGTGGTTACTGGAGCACATAGACATCTACGACGTAAATGCGCCACCCACTTTGAGATATCAGTTCTAAGGTCTCAGTATAGTAATTTTACTCGATCTTACATAAAACGAGTGCTATTATTAACTCCATTCAATAGGACACTAATTTTGTATCTGTTTTACCCGCACCGTAAACTCTCACAAGAATTTACATAAAAATAAGTCAAAAGCTTAAATGGTTTCTAGAAAAAATATCCACATTTATCTTCAAGGACATCAATGGGAAAAATTAACATAAGGTTTTTTTTTTATATGTCTTACCAAGCAACGAGAGCAGGCCACATGCCATCCAAATGATGAAGCTTATGCCCACTGAGCCGGTACGCGCCAAAAGCCCAGAGGGCGATACGAATATTCCTGATCCTGAAATCATTTCAGAGTTTAGCAATGGCATAAAATAGTTTTCATTAAAAACCAAATCAAAACAGCCAACGGGATATGTATGTATATAAGATGAAGAGTAATACATTTTCTTCGGTTTTAGCAAATCGTAAAAATAATCATAATTACTTTTACGGTTTACAGTTTTCTTGGTCACGGACAACTGAAATCAACCACGAAAACTTTAAGTATGCAAAACGTCGGAAAAAATATAAAGACAATAAAATCGCGAGATTAAAGCGTAAAAGTAGTTCTGATTAGATGAAAAAAAGTTAATGGATTTACAATCGCGAGAAAAATTAATCAAACGAGCAATCATATTTGATTTGATTGCTCGTATTTTTACTGCGATCCACTATGTTACCAATTTGTATTTCACTACTGCGAAGCCGCCCACTTATTACCTAGTTCTAAAAATGGAGCTGCAATGTATTCGCAACATTTATACAATTTAATTTTATTATTTTTCTCTAAGTTAGCTTAAGATAGCCAAAATTGAAATATATTATGTTTAAAAACACATTAATATTTAGAATGAGGAATACAATAATAAGAAAAAGATATCATAATTTTGCGGGTAATTTTTGCGCGGGATTTAAATTAAATTGAGGAATGACATCATATAATATGGGCCTGGATAACCGTAGATGTGATGTCTATAAGGCATGTCGTGACAGTCCAGATTATCCACCCATGTCCTCTATAGTGAATATTTGACAGTTATACCCACTACATAACATACCGCTATCGCTTTTGTTTGAAGATAGCTATGGGGCCGGGTTCGCCCATTACCGTCACCATCACACGGCACGCCAAACCGAGGGTCAATAGCAACGACAACCGGAACCGGCAGCCGACAGGTCGGAGCTCCCCTAGATGGCACTACGCTTTCCCACAATGTCCAACTAAGTCAGACACCCAAACCTAAACTTAGGATAACAACTTAGGGTTTCCGTTACTTCAAACTCCAAAAGCGCATGTCAAAGTTTATGACAATTACGATATCATTATAGAATTTAATTATTTATTTGTATATTTAGCAACCACTTGTTTCAGTTCTCATCAGAACAAATACACATCCACGTAAAAATTTCAGGAACATTGCTTTCTTTGAATATAAATTGCGTATCAGTCTCTTGTTAGGTAGGTTACGTGAATGATAAAATGAAATGACGTCAAATTGAATAGTGTTGCATAAAGAAGTGTATCGTGTGATGAGAAAATTCGTAACGTATGTTTCAAAACATTCATCCACACATATTTTTATCTATTAAGTTACTTGGATTCTTTGCAACAAGCCAAGCGACGTCTGTTAAAAAAGTCAAGTAGTTGCAGTCTTTTTTTTTTATTGCTTAGATGGCTGGACGAGCTCCCAGCCCACCTAGTGTTAAGTGGTTACTGGAGCCCATAGACATCTACAACTTAAATGCGCTTAAATGAACTTATATCTCAAGGTGGGTACCTTGAGATATAAGTTCTAAGGTCTCAAGTATAGTTACAACGGCTGCCCCACCCTTCAAACCGAAACGCATTACTGCTTCACGGCAGAAATAGGTAGGGTGGTGGTACCTACCCGTGCGGACTCACAAGATGTCCTACAACCAGTAAAATACTCAGTCTTGACATTCAATATTAAATACAAATGAACATTATCTAATTTGGTACCCCACATGTTTACTCTTTTTTCCCAGTTAACTATGTTATTGAAAATAATTACATCTAAAATAATTTTTATTTTAACGTGATCTTACTTTCAGCAAATACAGAGAGAGCAGTGGGTAGGCGGCTCGACTATACACTTGGCATTGCAAATGTCCATTAGTGACGGCACTCACCTATTATGTAGGTCGGAAAAATTATAAAACAACTTGGTAATAATCTATACTAATATATAAATCTACAGTGGTTTTTACGGATGTTCCGTTATAACTACTGAACCTTTTTTTTTATTGCCCTTGTAGGCAGACGAGCATACGGCTCACCTGATGGTGAGTGGTTACCGTTGCCCATGGACTTCAGCAATGCCAGGGGTAGAGCCAAGCCGCTGCCTACCGAAAGCCTACCATGCATCCGATTGACTTGAAACTTGGTATCCATGTAGAAAATACGTGTACTTAATGGATAGGCTAATATTTATATGAGTGTTGGACTCCCTACACCAGTTGCAGGGGCGTTAATGATGAGAATCTTTGTGGGGGGGGAAAATAATAACGTTAATTTTAAATGCCCAGCGTAGCGGATGGGTACAGCTAGTAGTTTATAAAATGAATTCAATACGCCAATCCGTCTGCAATTGTGTGAATTCCTTTGCTATTGTCAACTCAATGATTCGTAATATGATTTGATTCGTTAGAAAATTGCCACTCACCAATCATAGTGCCGACAATTAGAGCCACCCCACTGAAGAGTCCCACCCGTCTCTTGAGGTGAACAGGGTCGTCCGGAGCTGCGTCCGACCCCTCCAGCTATTCAATCATTTAATAACCCTTTTTAAGAATACGAGTCCATACGGTTGGTTTTATAGATAGAGAGAATTTTTAGGATGTTATTATTGTTATTTCACAACTAGTAGGTACTCAGTTGTGACCATAGACAACGTTAATGGCGTGTCTTTGAAACGTGAAGTCAAATAATTTCGTAAAGTATTCGATTCATATTATTATTCGATAATTATTTGTATTTTTTTAATTTAAGAATAACAAATGTTTAAGTTTCCTTTTAGGACGTCTATGCATTCGTATGTATATTTTAATTTTTATTTTTGCAAGATAAAAAGAAAGTAAAACAACGATACCTTGTCTCCTGGGTTTGAGTTGCCATCGTCGAACGCTCCCGTCGTGCCGTCTTCGGCATCGCAGCTGGCTGAGCACCCGCGCCAAACCAATCCGCCTTCGCGTGTGCTCCCTTCCAGAACAAAAAAAAAACATTTTAATTTGAAAAAAAAAACAAATAGAAAAACAACAACTATGTAGGCATATAAGATTTTTTTTTGTGTTACGTAATTTTTTTAATATAACTTTAACACTACGAACCCATTGCATTGAAATAAAATAATACGTTTTCAATTTACGGTAGTTTTTTATTTTTTTATAGTATTTAATTATTATTGATACACATAATATGTACATGTACTATTTTATTAACACTCTTAACCAAGATGAATGCTTTATTTAGAATTCGTAACTAAATTATTTTTAAAACAGTCGTCAGTAAGTGAAGAATTTGTTCAAATAAAACCGTAAAAGTAATGATTAAATCACTACGAAGTTTTGAGCATGACACGCCCCGCTCGCCTCACGTCAGAGTACTGTCAAGACAGCATTTTCGCGATTACACATTTTAAAATAGAACAAATTTTCACATATCTCCTCCGGTGCTAAAATCTAAAATTATTTCGAATTATTTTCATCCTACGTCACAATGAGGATAATAAATATCGCGTAATGATAATACTTGCGAAGCTAGGCATCACAGAAATATATACAAATTAGACGTGCCAAGCGCTGAAAAGATTTTTGCCGTGAACATTGTTTCGCTACGTATTTTGAAAGCGTTAAAATATAAAAACAAAACTAATCAATTTTTTTGTATTAAATACAAATTATTTTTTTCCGTCGATAAAATCCAATAAAATACTGAATTTAAGAATTATTGTCATATAGCCTCATTGAAAATATTTAGCATATCTAACATGGAGCATAATATCTTTATTTGGGTCGGCTAAATTTGAATCTGTAGATACACCTTTTGTTTGGTCAGGAGGAAATCGCTGAAATAAAGAAGAAATCGCCGAACGCGATTTCCGCCTCCGGAACGCCACAGACTTTACATATCCGATGCGTTAATTGGCTTGTAATAGGAATTGCTTGAAATTGAGCTTTAGAATCTAAATTACCTAACTGCATAACCCACATAAAGCGCTAAGCAAACTCGATTAATTCTAATATGTTTATACTCAAATATTTACGCTGCCATTTATTTCAAAGGCGCCTGTCAATTTTTTACATTACCAATTACAATATTAGACATTAAAAAATATGCGGTATCAAGGACGCAGAAATAAATTTTAAGTGAAAATTACTACTGTACTATATTGTAGTTGTCGATATTTTTTCAGATTTTACTAGCTACATAATGATTACATACATATAGTAGTAGTAGGTAGTAGGTAGTACATAGTAGGATTGTCAAATTAAATTTTTAAGCAGTTCCAAACAATTACACTATTACAAGAAAATTAACGAATCGGCTACGTAAGGTCTACGGGTGTCTATATTTCCAAATTTTTGTAGCTCCTAATGGTCGACTGAAAATAAAAATAGCATGGTCCATGTTAAATATGCCAATAATTTTCAACGAGGTTGTTATATACGAGTATAATTTTTTTTTCCTACCTAAGCCGATGGCCTTGATGGGCCATTTCAGCGTAACCCTAACAAGTAGGTGAGCTCACGGCGCTCAAACCTGACAGCGTTGCTAACACTAACCCTAGCAAGAGCAGTGCTTCGCAGAATCTACCACCAGATCGGAAACGCGACCCACTGAGAATATCCGGCGAGAAACTCAGTGAGCTGTGTCTGTAGGTTAATTTACTCGCCGGGCCTTTCGTCGTAAGCGACCTGTTTTGGGTGACGTCGACTGTTTACCATTCGATCCGCAGGATCGGGAATGTAGTTTCCGGCAACCAGGATTGTATATGAATATTCAATACTTTATAAAATTTTGTCGATGAACAAAAGTACTTTACTAGTGGTAGAGCGTCTTGTGAGCCCGCACGGGTAGTTACCACCATCCTGCATATTTTTGTCGTGAAACAGTAATAGGTTTTGATTTGAAGGGTGGGACAGCCGTTGTACTTTAAAATTGAGACTTAGAACTCATGTGTCGAGGTGGGTGGCAGCATTTACATTGTCGATGTCTATGGGCTACGGTAACCACCTAACACCAGGAGGTCCTGAGCTCGTCCTCTCATTTAAACAACACAAGAAAGTTAAAGATAGTATCTTGAATGCAGCCAGGTTTTTATGTCATTTCATATTTTATATTCTTATCAACAGTTTATCAGCTATATATTTCAAAGAAAAATAGGAAACCTAATTTGAATAAATTAATAATAATTTAAAATGATACGACACTTTTGTTAAATTATCTATTATCTTCATTTGACAAAATGATTCAGTTTTTTTTTCGAAGTAAATAAATTATCTTATCAAAAAAACTTAATTTCAAAACGCAATAATAGTAACAACAAATACGTGCTTGAATCCGTTTGTCGTAAACTACTGATAGGACTGAAAGACCATTAAATCAATATTGCGAACTTCAAAGAATGGGTGTATACACTACCTTAATACAATCACTAATCAAAGATACTTTGAAAGGCAATCATTATGTCATAAGTTAATAACAAGTTAAGTTTGCACAAGTTCTTTGCGTGATTGAAAATTATAGATTGTTCTGGAATCTTTGAACAATATATAATACAGTACCCAGTGATTAAATTGTAGAACTATTCAAACTAAATATTATTGCTAAGAAAAACATGTAGATTTACTGGTGGTAGGACCTCTTGTGAGTTCGCACGGGTAGGTACCACCACCCCTATTTCTGCCGTGAAGCAGTAATGCGTTTCGGTTTGGGTGGGGCCGCCGTTGTAACTATACTGAGACTTTAGAACTTATATCTCAAGGTGGGTGGCGCATTTATGTTGTAGATGTCTATGAGCTCCAGTAAAATCATTTAACACCAGGTGGGCTGTGAGCTAGTCCGACCATCTAATAAAAAAAAGAAAAAAAGATTTTTTTTTTTACAATTTAACAGAGTTTTTTCCAAACGATTTTTTTGCAGTTATTTTTTTATTGCCGTTATAGGTAGGCGAGCGCACGGCCAGCCTGATGATAAAGGTCAAGTCGGTGTCTACTAATAAATACACTGAGTAATATGCTTTTTTTTTTTAGGAGGAAATAGTCCAGACTTCCGCTCTCCTCTGGGGATGGAGGGTGGGGCATGTTGGAATCGAACCGACTACCTCCTATCGCTCAACAACCAGCATCCAACCCTCGCATGAGACAGAACTCGTGAAAGGGCAAAGGAGGGGAAAGTGAGAGTAATACGCTAGGAGAGAATACTTCAGCTGAAATTTTATTCGTATGTCCTCGGTATTGTATATTGTATAAGTTAAGTGCCTTAAGAACTATATTCTTTGTATACTTTATATTATAGTTACTATTATTTTTATAATTCAAATGGAACACATTACTGTTTCTCGACAAACCAGAAATAAAGGTAGCGTCACTTTTTTATAACCTTTATTACTTCGATCAACTAAGTAACCATTTTAAAAACAGAAAATACCGTTTTTGTTTTTAAAATATTTACTGTAATGTTTTAATTTATTCATTACTTAAGTTTGTGTACACTAATTTCTGTAATGTCCGTACCAATTATAATATAGAAGATGTAACTACAATCTAAAAATAAAAATAAGAGACTCCATGATGTTTTTTGTTTAGATAATTTTTTAGTAAAAAACGCGCCTATAAAGTCTTAAATGCCATACGTGTATAACATTCGGTAGAAAAAAAAACAATATAACTCCGATTTGGGTAAGGTTAAATGACTGCCGAAATCCATAAACATTTTTAAGTGTTAGCTGACGCTCACCTTGAGACATTAGGTAGAAAACGGTTTTCCCGCCCTTTCGACCGGACGCTTAACGCGTATTACTACGCGTCATGAATACTAAAGCATGAGATGTTACAGCAAACTCTATACTCAACAGCAAAATCTGTCGTCATACTCAACATAGACTTTAGTAGACATAAAATCAATACCGTCTTTACCATAAGGGCACACGGGGCCCGTGCCCAGGGCCCCCATTCTCAGGGGACCCCGAAACATCGACAATTTCTCTCACACGTTTATTCTCAAAACACTTTTGTCGGGCACATTACACTTTTTTCACAAATCAGTAATCAGAAGAGACAAGACATACACTATGCCTATAATAGAAGATTTTGCTCAACAGAAATCCCGAAAGAAACCGTTATCGAAATCGTAACCAAAAAACCAGTCTAATTCTATTATCTAATATCATCAATTCTAAATCAAATCAATTCTAATATCATTAATGACATATTATATTGTACTGTATTTGATTAAGTATAATAAATGGTCATACTCAGTATTTTTTTTAATTATAATTCGCTTTTTTTACTTTCCAAAAGGGCCTCAAATTCTTGTGTGCCCTAGAGCCCCATCCTAGTTTAAGACGTCCCTGCATAGAATACTACTTACTAGGCACTTACTACTAGGACTGACTAAGTACTTACTACTACGTACTAGTACTTACTACTATGGAAGATCGATGGGAAGTATTTGAAGTAGCTTGTGGATGCGACAGTCGCTCAAGTGTAGTCACTCTTTCATTAATAATCTAAAATAACTATCATCACAGATAATCTAGAACCAATTGTATATTTTCAGAACTATTTGTTAATTAACTCATTTTTATCTTCAAATTTCATCAGTGCATGTTAATCCCGACCTCGGATTCTTTTTTTTGTCACCATTGTCAGTTTAAATTATATAGGTCAATGACTCACGCTTGTTTTAACGGCGCTAGTATTTAAAGCAATAAGTCATATTGGTATACAATCATTACATTTAACATATTCAGCTCTTATCGGATCGGATTTGTTATTTATTCATATCGGTTTCAACCACAGGATTTACCGTGAAGAAACGGTAATTACGAAATTGACCGTCACATGTCATTTTGGCGCTGATTTAGAAATAGCTGACAGTTTGTGACAACGATGAACACAATTAGATTTTTAGGTATTTGTTAAAACAGTAAACAGGTTTAGTAACATAATCGAGTTGAAAATATGATGTTCCAGAGTTCACATTTCATTTGCAATGGTGTCGTGTGATATGTTGAACGCTTTGAGACATCATAACAGGTGCTCAATGGCACGTACGCATACTATCAATAGAAGTACCAGAAGCATATTATTTGGCTTACCGATGCACATTGTGTTGTGTTTAATTGTCTGTATACTCGGCCATGAATAAGCAACTAACAAATTGAGTGAACGATGTGAAATTTCTCATTTCAAAAACATTGTTTATTATTATACTTTAATATCCCAATTGTATCCTTGGATAAAAAGATAATCTATATTAAAATCTTTCGTTCGTTCATAAAATATTTAATTTTAAGGTTGTTTTCACGGTTTAAGTACGCAATGAAGCTCAAATATTTGAAATTAACCTCGTTTAAACTTTTTATAAGCTTTCATCAACAATTTGCTTTATACAAAAAGGTTCAGATAAATTATAAATTATTTGACGGCTGACTCATAGAAATCGTACACGTTAATCTTACTAAACTAATAACATTAAAGTGGCTTTCATTTCTTTCAGTTGTTTTTCCAAATTCATTGGCATTATCGAATTCTCTAATTTTACGCACTTTATATTTAAAAAAGTTAACGAGCGAATTTCAGCTCGTACAATTTAATAGATTTCATATTTTTTTCTGTGGCAATGAGTATGTACCCTTCCAATTTGAATATTGTAGGCAGCGGCTTGGCTCTGCCCCTGGCATTGCTGAAGTCCATGGGCGACCGTAACCACTCACCATCAGGTGGGCCGTATGATCGTCTGCCTACAAGGGCAATAAAAAAAAATATCCGACCTGATTAGATAGTCACTAAATTTCTGAAGGAATGTATAAACATTACAAACTTCTGAAAGCAACTAGATACTTAATATATTGATATAGTGATTCATTATTGAAATGTACAACTATGAAGATTTATTAACAGTTTTCGATTATTCAACCGGTGTATTAAATGTTAGAATAGATTCCAACCATTCAAACAAACAACGATAGTTACAAAATGTTATTGCTCATTATAATCGATTAGGTGTATCAGCAGCTGCACTCGCATGGAATTAAGCCTACTGAGTTTCTCGCCGGATCTTCTCAGTGGGTCGCGTTTCGCATCCGGTGGTAGATTATGGGAAGCACGGCTCTTGCTAGGGTTCGTGTTAGCAACATCATCAGGTTTGAGCCCCGTGAGCTCACCTACTAGTTAAGGTTACGCTGATATGATCTCTCTAGACCAGGGGTGGGCAAATATTTTGATAGTCGGGCCACATTGCAGATGAAAATTTGACCTCGGGCCAAACAGTTTTTTTTTTAATTTTAAGTATAGTTTTTGCTAAAAATTAGTTCAGACTCTTCAAATTGAAAAATATGTTATGCAAATACATCAGCTTCAGTTTCATTATTTCTTTAATATTTTACGATGCATGCACCCTCAGTAGATCTATATCTGCTTTTATTTCGTTTAATTTTCCGCGAATTTATTGCAGAAAGATATTTCTCCAAATTGAAATTAATATAAAATAACCGGCATAAAATTTATGTTAGACAAAAACTAATATTTGTGTTTTTAATAATTATATATACAATGTTTCACGGGCCAGACAAAATTCTACCGCCGCCATTTGCCCAGGCCTGCTCTAGACCATCAGGTAAGGCAGGAAAAAAAAACATGTAATTCGAAATATGAATAAATATGATTTTAATTTTAATATGAATAAAGTCTATTTTAAATGATATTTCATATAGAACTCGGTTATCAAAAAATATGGTTTGGTACGTAACGAAACAAAATTATATAGATGTTAATTTTAAAGGTGATGTTAAATCAAAGGTTTAATCGAAATTAGCCCAATAATTTTGCATGATCCTCGAAGAAATAAGGGCTAATTTAAAAAAAACAAAACACAATCGGTGATTTGGGTCAAATACCTACAAATAAACTTTGTTTTGCAATCTGTTTATGAATTTTTTCACCGTGAGACAGCGCTACAGCAGTTTTATAATAGTCATCTAAGTTATTTGTTGTCGTTGTCTTTTTATTTTAGATTTTTTTAACAGATTTATCGTTGGTGTAAAATCTAGTCAGCTTCGTATAAGTAGGTGGTGTAATCAAGGTATCATCATCATCATTCCTTTCTATTACCCTCTGCTGGGGTGTAGGGCTCGAATCAAATTTTTCCATTTACATCGGTCTTGGGCAGTCTGTTCTAGCTCCTCCCACGTTTTTATTTTTTTATTGCCTAGATGTGTGGACGAGCTCACAGCCCACCTGGTGTTAAGTGGTTACTGGAACCCGTAGACATCTACAACGTAAATGCGCCACACGCCTTGAGATATAAGTTCTAAGGTCTCAGTATAGTTACAACGGCTGCCCCACCCTTCAAACCGAAACGCATTACTGCTTCACGGCAGAAATAGGCGGGGCGGCGGTACCTACCCGTGCGGACTCACAAGAGGTTCTACCACCAGTAATTACGCAAATTATAATTTTGCGGGTTTGATTTTTATTACACGATGTTATTCCTTCACCGTGGAAGTCAATCGTGAACAATTGTTAAGTACGTATTTCATTAGAAAAATTGGTACCCGCCTGCGGGATTCGAACACCGTTGCATCGCTATATACGAATGCACCGGACGTCTTATACTTAAGGCCACGACGACTTCAATTGTCATGCCCAAGACCCCTAGCTCCTGCTCCACCGAGCGACGCCAAGTTGTTCTGGGGCGGCCTCTCGTCCTCTTGCCAGACACTTTCCAGGTCAGTGCTCTCAAGGTATCAAGGTATCATAGTTGTTGAATTCGTAATTCGTGTTGTATTCGAAATCAATTTAAATCTGATAATTTATCTGATGGAATGTGTATATTGTCCCCATCATTTGAATGTAGGCCACCAACAAATTGTAATGATGTAATAACAGACAGAATAAACATTGTAATAACTTTTGAATAATGAACGAAACGCCTTCTCGAATTTTCGAGGTTTCACAACTATTTTTAAATTACACGACTGTTATCTAACATGGTATAACATTACGAAATTGTTGTTCTTTTAAAAATCTGTTATTTTTATATTCCGTTATTTGAATATGATATTTTTGTATACTATGTTTTTTGCAGCAGAAATATGTACATAGTTTGTACTGTTTCTTTTATTCTTTATTGTACACACAGTTAATATTACAGTAATTGCGTAAGATATAAAAAATGGCGAGCTTAACTCAACAGTTGAGTTTTCTACCAGCTAACCGTTCTTAACGAAGGAAAGCTTTAAATGAGTGGGTAGAAGAATACAATCTAAACAATTTACAATCTAGACAAGAACTTAATAAAAATAAAAAAAATAAAACATCATATATTAGACTTACATATATATACATACACACATAAATAACGTAAACATATACATACACGTACATATATAATGAAATACATAAAATAAATATATATAAGTAATACTGTACTGTAGTGCTATTCCGTGTGGGATTTCAATGTAATCAACCAAAGGGTGCGGAATAGGTCATTAGGCAGCTAGGTAGGAGACTAAGTTGAGAATGAATAGTACTACAACGGCCATATGACGATGAAGCTGTACCTAGTAGTAAATACAAAGTGTGAATTGTAAACATAAACATACTAGGCGGTTAGCAATATCACTGTCATCAGTGATGGTTAATTTAAAGCTAATACTATAATTTTATTTTCATTTATTATAAAAAAGTTATTATTAAGTTGTATTAACATCTATAAGTTCTGGTATTTTTGTTTGTTATTGCTTTGTTGGGTGGACGAGCTCACAGCCCACCTGGTGTTAAGTGGTTACTGGAGCCCATAGACATCTACAACGTAAATGCGCCACCCATCTTGAGATATAAGTTCTAAGGTCTCAGTATAGTTACAACGGCTGCCCCACCCTTCAAACCGAAACGTATTACTGCTTCACGGTAGAAATATGCAAGGTGGTGGTACCTATCCGTGAGGACTCACAAGAGGTCCTACAACCAGTAATCAAACCGAAACGTATTACTGCTGAAAATTACTGCTGAATTTGGAAGGTAAATAGCTGTTTTATACTTAACAATGTTATTTTTAAACTGTACTATCAGTTCTGGTCATTTGAAAAGTTTTATTAGAAGTGCATTAAAAATAGAGTATAAAGGCAGACCTTCCGAAAAGACGAGTACTGGATCAAGCACACCATTCTGAAGCTTTTCTGTGTTGTGTGCAGGTGTGTGCGCCGAGCCTCGAAACAATGCTGCGATTTTATCACGCATCGCATCGCACATGCACTCAGCGGATGCCGGTGCTCACTATATCTACTACTCTATCAAAGAACTGAGTCAAGGTGCTAAATCTAAATATCGCGTAACTCGCGTAACAACACCCACGGACGATCCTTACGATACCAAAGTCAAGCCAGTACTGCACGACTCGGTGGTACAGTTTACATTAAAATAGCAGAATGCACACCTGTGACGTTTGTGCGTATGAGCAATACAAATCGCGTTTCCCAAAGAATTTATGACTTAAACAATTTACGAAAGGTTATGTAAAGCAAGTTAAATTTATTTAAACGTGAAATTTGATTCAGATTTTTGTTGATGTTTTTTTTTTGTTTTTTTTTTTTTTTGTTTAAGCGATGGAGGTGCGTGAAAGATGTTAGGTTGATACGGTTGCGCGGAGCGGACTATCTATTCCGGTCTCGAGTGAGCACGTGGGCGCCACCCGCCCGCCTTCGCCCGCCCTCCGATCAATGGCAATGAGAACTGATGTCTCGTCACCAGCCAGTCATACAATAACATCAAACGTCACATTTGACTCGGGCGTTTGACAATGGTCTCCGCATTCTATGATGAACGCACATCCGATTCGTCAACAAGCCATTATTAGATAATCTGTAAATAGGGCAGTTTATGTTCTTTTATACATATTTAGTAGCTGATATTATCATAATCAATGAAAATAAAATAGTTCGTTACGATTAATACGTTTTAAACTAATATTTATAATGTTTAAATTAAACCCGAGCAAATAAACTTTTTACGTGCTTAGTTTTTTTTTTTAATTGCTTAGATATGTGGACGAGCTCACAGCCCACCTGGTGTTAAGTGGTTACTGGAGCCCATAGACATCTACAACGTACATGCGCCACACACCTTGAGATATAGTTCTAAGGTCTCAGTATACTCACAGCGGCTGCCCCACCCTTCAAACCGAAACGCATAACTGCTTCACGGCAGAAATAGGCGGGGCGGTGGTACCTACCCGTGCGGACTCACAAGAGGTCCTACCACCAGTAATAAGTTTTCGAATCGTTCCTTTAAATCCTCTTGGTAATATAAAAAGTATGTAATTACTTACACACACACTCACACACTTGTGTAAACTTATTTGTATGAACGATTCAATCTCATTGAATTGAAGCTTTTTCCCACTTCTGGGATGATTTTTAAGAGGCGGCGCGTGATTAATGGGCGTATTTCTTATAACATTTGGCGATGGCCTTTCCATCAAAAATACTTGTTGATCGAATCACAATGAGACATGATCGTGATACACTGGCGAGTTGAGTTATACATTATTCACGCAGTGCAACGTGCAAAATTTTCATGATGTGTGTGATTATGAAGTCTAGTTCTACAATTGATTGTTTTATTTTAATATTTGGATGGATTATAACCTGGATGTTCGGTATTGAATATTGATTAATTTAAATATATGTTATTCTGTTTTTGAAAATTGTTTAACAAATTTCATGGTGTTTTTTTTTATTTCAATCATACTTTTTTGTTGATTGAAGTATGTGGTTGGACCGGTACTCTTCAGACTACATCTACAGCGTACAATTCGAACGCATTAGTAGTTCCTCACTTTCCTAGCTTGCTCTGTGTGCTTAGTGCGAGTTTTTTAACGTTTTCTATAACGTGAAAGTTAACTCAAATTTGTATGCAGTTGGAACAGCGCACCTAGCGGCAAACCTAGGCAAACGTTCCAACTCCATACTATTTTTTAATTTTTTTTTAATGCTTAGATCGGTGGACGAGCTCACAGCCCACCTGGTGTTAAGTGGTTACTGGAGCCCATAGACATCTACAACGTAAATGCGCCACCCACCTTGAGATATAAGTTCTAAGGTCTCAAGTATAGTTACAGCAACTGCCCCACCCTTCAGACCGAAACGCATTACTGATTCACGGCAGAAATACCCAAGGTGGTGGTACCTACCCGCGCGGACTCACAAGAGGTCCTACCACAAGTAATAATGTTGTAAAAAAAAATAAAAAAAATGTGAGTTAGCTTTTACGTTATCGAGAACGTTAAAAAACTGAACTGGTGCTAAATAGATCGTTAATAGTTTGATACCAACATTTACCACTAGACTTTCATCATACCGGCCATTGTGAAAAGAAAGATATTATTATGTTTATTGTTTTCGAAGGCAAACGAATGGTGGCCAATTGATGGTGACCGATCATCGTCGTGACATCAACCTACCTCTTTGCCTACCGCTGAGGATTGCTGCTAAGCTTAATCTGAAGGATGAGTCATAAGGCTAAAAAAATATTATAGAAGGGAGAAAATATGTTTGCTAATTGAATAGCGATACCTATACAGGTTAATTTACTTCAAAAGAGAATATTCAGGAGAGAATGTTCATGAATAATGTAGATACAAACGTCCCGTACAAAATTGCTTCCCGCCGAATATCTGCTTAAATTGATTGATGCGAGTTTTATCGGCGTCTGAAAAGTTTGGAACGTATGAATTTCTCTTGCCTACACAATATCAGATATTTTTGTAATGCACGTGCTTCCAGAAACTTTTGTAGATTAATCTTAAAGCCGACGTTAGATTATGCAACGAGAATAAATTCTGTGCGTCAGTTTCAGGTATTTGCGCTGCACTGAAAGCGAGAGTCGTAAAATACACAATGAACTCTCAAGAAACATTGCCGAAATTTATATCTGTTCGATGGAGGCCGTGATATACGGCTTCTCTAGAACTGTTTACTTTGATCTAGGTTTATTTTAAATTTTTCGACTTCCTGTTGGAAGTTTCGATTAATTTGTTTTATAGCTAAATTTAAAGTTATATGACGATTTCACCGCGCTAAGTAAATAAAAATCGTAGCAACGGGTGAGCCTTTATGAGGAAGGACGATTTAAAAAAAAGTATATATTTTATATTTATTTTTTAAGTATTAACTTGACAGGGCGGGGTCATTTTTCCTGCCGCCATGTCAAACGTACTGGAAATCATAAATCTCATGGTTTTTGGTCTATGGTTTTTAGCACTCTAAAATGATTGAGCATAAACAAAAGACAAATAAACTTCTTAAAAGAAGACTTGTCTATGAAATCCTACAACAAGCCTCACTCAACCCTAAACACCGCATCTGATTGGATTATTTTGATGCACACGTATTAAAACGACAAAATCCCCGAAGATGTCGCAGTTTCGTCTTCCAAGCCAACATATTTCTCTATTCTAGGAAAATCAAACACATTACTACTGTATATAGTAGTAGTAGAGCTTACTCTAGCGTGAGAAACAAGTATACCCGGCATTGAATCAATGGATTGTTAAGATATTCATGTTTCTCAAAAGAAAACTTCATATATCTTATTGTCAAATGCTACGGAAATATGTACAGCCATGATCTATTGGTATGCGTTTTCTACTCATGTGAGAAGAAACAATGCTATTCTTTAACTGGAAATTTTTAACACGTTGAACACCATGCGACCCACCGGTGGGCCTAGCGTATTATACCATTCGGGCCAAGCCAAAATCAGGAAATTAGTAATTTTGATCAACTTGAAATTTTCGTTCTAAAATTTATAAAATGCGTTAATATGCACGGATATTAGGAACTAGCGACTTTTACAGTCTAGTTTTTAAGATATTTTAAAAGGGATTATATCTTGTTAAAAAGTGCACTTTCTATTGGATTTAAAAATCAAGGCGTTCGTTCGGTTCAGCTAAAGGGCTACGCAGCTCACTTCTATACGCGTTTTGTTTGATAGCTGCAATCTGTGGCTTGTGGGAAGCGTTTACGTTGGAACCCTCACGCGGGTGACCCTTAGGGCCCGAACGGTTTAGTAAGGTAAGGCATACCGGTGAGCACCGTGGCCTGAATGAAAATACTCGATTTTTTTATGCGGCGTTCTGTGTTAATAGTTATTAAGTTGAAAGATAATAATCCCTATATTCTATGTGTGTTTCGTTCAAAAATACGATTTTAAATTGTTTCATTGAAAAGAATAGAACCTTTTTCGTTCACTTGCGTGTAATTCAATGGCCTCCTTGTGTATATACGCAATCAGCTTTGACGTTCACGACCGGTCAAAGTTCAATCACGTTTAATTTATATGATTTCGACAAAGATTCCTTTGGAAGACCATCGTAATTTAAGCTATATTGAAAAAACACGCAAACGATAAAAACATTATAGGGATAAAATACATGAGCATCGTGATTGTTATGGACATTGTTAATGACGTGAACGAAAAAATGGTACTTATAAGTAGGTGGGGCGATTACACCTCTTTCAACGAGCTATAAAAAAATCTTTCGAAACGCATGAAATGCAAATTAAATTTGACTTGTGTTCGCCCAAATATTCAGAATAATGGTGAAAACTTAGGATTAAAACAATTATATGTATTACATTTCTTGTTTTATTTTTATAATTTTTCTTATAGAAAAATGAAAATAGTTTTTTTTTTTCATCTAATTGTTGGCAGTCCAAAGGGCCATTCCAGCCACCCCCGACGCGACGGGTAGGTGAGCTCTCGGGCTCAACTTGAGAGGATTGCTACATTGGCCTTAGCAAGAGCAATGCTTTGCTGAATATCGCCGAATCGGAATTGCGACCCACTGAAAAGATACGACGAGAAATTCAGTGAGTTATGTCTATAGGCTAGTTCGCATATCGCTAATTGACGAATACGACGAAGACGATGACTGGTGCTTGAAGAGCGTAAAGCAGCTAGAGCGGATCCAGTGGATCTGACAAGACATGTTTTGGGCGACGGCAGCTTTGCTTTGCCTGGGTAGGATATGTGAAGAGTGGTGGCCAGGATAAGAGGGTTATCGTGTCGCGCGTTCAATGTACGAAAGTAAACCAACTAAAGCCGTTTTAGAACTGCTAAATAAATGAAAAAAGAAAACATTTCACAAACAGTGTAGAAAATGGAAACTATTCAGGGTTTTCCTATTTAACTATTCTATTTTACTGGCGCAGATGTTCGGACAGCAATACCTAGTTTCTGATTTTAATTGGTTATTCACACCACAGATATGACAATTTCCGCCAGCCGTCCATTGCAAAGCACAACGTCAAATTCTCAATTTTGTGTTGTAATAAATGAAAACCATGCAAGCAATACTTAACGGCAAAAAGATCGGAATAGCGATACCTCCAAGTAAAGGTTCAAAAGCAATAAAAAAAATATTGAAAAATTACAAAATGTAATTGAAACGCCGCTTCGCTACAATTCATTGGCAAGTGACAATAGATTTTAAATGTTCACTACCATCTCAATATACTTTTAATTTCTAATTCATTTAATTTCTAAGAATTTTTTGTCCCAATCCTTGTAAATATGACGCTTAATCCTGAACAAATCGAAAATAAAACAAAGATATGTGTTATCAAGAAGAAGAAGAAACACGAAAAAAAAGTAATGAAAGCGTTCTTTAAATTAACAAAGCATGTTAGTAATTGGACTAGACTAGCCTTGAACACCAAAATAATAATTATACTTTGACTAAAAATAAAAGACTGCTGAAACTATTCCAACTAGCGTTTTATATTTTTTATTTTTTACTAGCTGAAATAGGCAGACGAGCTGTCGGTTCATTTGG